CTCTCTCTCGCTCGCTCTCACTAATTAATGTTTGTTCCCGATACCATTTGACACACACTCTTCTATTACAAGACGCATTACTATTATACACGCATTAAAAGCTTCTGATGACCTGTGTTAAATATCACGGTCAATGTCATCCATTACAAGTAGCAACCTCAGCCTACAAAATATCACAGGTGTAGTGATCGCGTATGCGGAGGATTCGCACTCCCCGAGTGCCTTTCTAGTTTGATTTGTTGTCGTAGTAATTTATTCAAAATGTAATATTATTTTTATCATCATATACCTTTTCAGGATAATTGGAATTGGAATACTATTTTTGATCACATTGGCTAAGAGTATTTTGACTTCGTGTAATTTTCCGTTGCTAAGACACAATTTGTAAACTTTACTAATATTGCTGACATATCTTGTAAAAGGAGTAAAAATAAACATATAAAACCGATAAGTACTGAACAAGAATCTGCAAGTAATTTTTTCGCATATGATTTATTGTATGATAAATTATAGGATGTTTACTATGGTACCAGCCATTCGACCACCATGATTAAAACTAGCCTTTCTTTGATTGACATTGTCAGAGAAAGCTTCCGACTGAAAATACTAGAACGACCCATAACGTGTGAGAATAATCACAGATTTTTTTCATCTACATATTTGACCATTCTTATTTATAAGTAACACATTTCACTTAAAAAAAATCAACAAGAACTAACAACAGCATGTGGCCTGCAAAATTCCACTACAAATCATTAGAAACCTGGTTGGGTATGCATACCACGTGTTACATTATAAGGACGAATGACACTATATATATTGACATCACCTATACCATATCGGTATACATTACCAATACAGCTAAAAGATGTCAGCACAGTCGCCTTTGAATTTTTCGATAATGCAAAGCTTTTAAATTAAATGGTTACACACACTAATTGTAAAAGGCGCTTTAATTGTACTGGGGTTAATCATTACCCGTTTATCATTTAAGGATAAACCTAGGAAAGAATGCATCCACTAGTGTTATTCTGGTCGTTTCCACTATGCCCCGAGGATTTTTCCTGCATTTCAGGCAGCTTCTCTGTAGTCTGTCCACCACCTGCGCTCTATACACAAAAGACAACATCAAGAGAAGATGAATTATTAAAATATACAAGGTTGGGTTGTAGTGTTAAACACTATGTTCCACACAGCAAAAAAAGAAAAGAAAAAAACATCGGTGTCAAAGACAACATCTAATACTGTAGTATGTATGCAGCGCGTTTCTCACACGCTGTCAGTGAAACGCAGTACTCCATGTAACTCGTACTAACGTGCTCCTGGCTACTTTTAGAGGTAAATATACCTTTGATTATGAAGACGACATTATCGGGGCTATGCTTACCTTTTTTGCATCTTCCTTCATCCCTCGCGACAAGTCAAACGCAGAGTACACGGCGGGCGTCCACTCAGATGATATCTTGGACAGGGAAAACTCTTCTGGTTTCGCTAGACCATACGTGGCCTTCAGCTCCAGCTCTGGGGGTTCCTCGGGTACATTTTGGTGATAACTGTGCATGCAAGGACCCATATAATCTCGGTGTGACACGCTATGGTATGCGGAACGCTGGCTACATTTTGCGTACAAGTTTTCAACAGCTGCTTCTCTGCGTTGTTCATAACTCCTATCGTGACCTTTTCAATCACTTCATCATAACGTTAGCGGCTAGGCTACTACAAACCGTCTACAGTAATGGCTTAATGCACTCTTTTCACATGTGGGTTTCCAACGCATTTATCCCTATGCAAGAATGACATTCACGTTACAGTTGTGGCGGTTTCAACACTGCTGATTAGAGTGGCCTACAAGCTTTTTCATGTATAATTAATCTTCGTTTCAGAAGAAACAATGCGATGGTTATAGCATTTGCTACTCGTTGGAGTCTGCTAAGGCTTTCATCAAGCCTAGGGAGGAACGTTTTTAATTATATTTCGTCCACTTAATCAACTGCATGTGCGCACAACCTTTACTCTTGCATCAAGATTTTTTTGATCTGCAGATTAGCAAGATATTAAATTCAAGAAAAGCCGTCAGTGTATCATTTAGCTGCGATAGCTGGCAAACTAATTAATTACCAGCACAATATGAAACGTACAGTACATGAATCAAAGACTGTCCAGGTCGTGAAATTAGCGCTATTTTGCCAGCGACCACTAGTTCAACCCCCTAAACCGCTGGTTCAACCCCCCATATAATCAGTCCACTTGGCCTATTCAAAATTTGTCCTATCTTGCCTTTATATCAACAATATTTACCAATTTCCTGACTAGTTTTTACTTCACTAAGACCATTGCACTGGACAATGCCATTGCTGTAATCTTAATCCATCTGGTGTACTGTCTGTCTTACAAACTGTGCAAATAAATACTATGAGTATGCCTAATAAACACAAAGCTAACAATTTTATTAATAATGGAATGAATTGAACAAAATTACGGACCTGTTCAAACTTGTAAGGGCCTGTTCAATTTGTCTAAAGGCCTGTTTAAAATTTTGGATAGGCCTGTTCACAGTTTGGCTAATTTCATGCCCTGCTGTCTTTTTTTCAAAATGCAATAAACCGTCTGACATATATAATGAACAATGAATACAACAAGTCACTTTTGCATTATGGCTGTGCACGCTCAACAACACTGATTCGTTGCCAGGCCACTGCTTTCAGTGAAAAACTAAAAACAAACCAACACAACCCAACACAAAGAAAATAAACAATTGACTGTTTTTTTGATAAACAACGTTTTTCATCTTTGCTTAGTATTTAAACATGCCAAATGTTCACTGAATTATTAATTGATGTGCTAATGGTTTGTACAAACTTAAAAGGTGTGTTCTTTTGAAAGTAAGTTGCGTGTTTGGTAACTAAAACGTCTTACTATTTCACTACACCTTTCAAATAGAAAAATTGTCTTATACCCAACATGAACTATATATGTCAGAAACATTGGCAACAGGGTAGCATATTACATGAGGAAATAATCTAGGACTTTACGAAAGAAGCTATTTGGTAAATGCACTATTGTAAAACTATTGATTCCGAGTCAAGCAAGTGATCATCGACGCCAATAGGGGGCAGCACGTTCCAATTTACACAGTTGCCAGCGAATTATATTCTTGATTTATCATGTACAAGGACCTAGTCAACTCATTTTGCCTTTGGGGTGGAAGGGCAAAGCCACGCATGTTTGATATTCTGATCAGTTGACGGTGGGCAGTTCGTTATTGGCTATTGACTACCTAAAGTATCTACTTTGGTGGGGTGGGGGGGGGGCAACTGCTTCTCTCTACCCTGTTATGGCCCTAATAGTGCAGCGGCCGAGACCCGAAAAATTAAGTGCACCCCTACCGGAGGTATAACAAGCTGGGAATGGTCTCATTTTAACCGTCTGGATCCCTAGTTTATGAAAAGCCATGTTGTAGTTGCAGCAACCTTATTGGCCACACATGTGCCGAATTAACCTTTTTTATGGTAAAATCTGAAAAATGTCATTTTCAGCTTACTTGCTTATTTTATGAAAATCAACCCCATTATATTTTATAATTGATGGTTATATCATTGTATTTCATTGAAATAGATATGTAGCAAATGTATTTGAGGCAGTTTTATGCTGCTAAAGGGGTTAAGGGGCCAAAATTATACCCCAAATTTGGCATTTTTTTGGCGATTACGACCAAAAAATGTATATTTTTCTTGCACTATTTCACCATACATGTTAATCACTGTGTCAGATCTGACTCTATTCATGGCCTAGATGTGCTATTAATAAAAAAATTAGTTTTCAGCATGGTAAACGGGTACAACATGGTACATTAACCCCTTGTTTGCAACAGACCTGAAAACTACTTTTTTCCGTTTACTTGCATATTTTATAAAATCAGGCGTGCAGATGTTTAGAACTGATGGTTTATCAATGTTTTGATTGAAATATAGATGAAGCAATGCATTTTTGGGCAGTTCTATGTTGTTAAGGGGGTTAAGGGCCCAAAAATATACCAAAAAATCTGTCAATTTTTGATAATTTTGACCATAATAAAGAAGCGTTTCATGCATACTGCCACCCAATACATGGTACAACAGTATCATAGGTCTACCTGACTGAAGCGCTGCCTATCCATCAGTCTGGGTGTATCATTGATATAAAAACAGTTGAAGCATGGTAAACGGGTACAACATCGGTACATTAACCCTTGTTTGCGGACAGACCTTAAAACTACTTTTTCAGTTTACTTGCATATTTATTATAAAATCAGCCGCCGTGCAGATGTTAGAAGGATGGTTATATGCAATGTTTTTATTGAAATATGATGAAGCAATGCATTTTAGGCAGTTCTATGCTGTTAAGGGGGTTAAGGCCAAAAATATACCAAAAGATCTGGCAATTTTGATAATTTTGACCATAATAAAGAACGTTTCCATGCATACTGCACCAATACATGGTAAAACAACATATTATAGGTCTACCTGTCTGAAGGCCTATCCATCAGTCTGGGTGTATCATTGATATAAAAATCAGTTGAAGCATGGTGAAGGCTGGGTTACAACATGGTGCAATGAACCTTGTTTACAACAATGGCTAAATGTTTACATAACACTGTGGCCATGACGTCAATAGCCTTTTTCAACACAAATCTATGTGCCACTTCCTTCTTCTGGTATGGTGTTCCGTTTTCACAAGTCAGTACATGAACAAGCCGTCGATGCACTCTACTCGCGCAAGGAGACAAGGACACTTCCTCGCACTCAAGCAGTCTTTGTCTGTGCAATAGAGATGTGTCAGGTCTCGAACTTCAACTGGAGCTGATGGCTTGAGTGAACATCGTCTGTGTTATGCTCCATCATCACAAGCGGACCAACCATGGCCAACCGGTTCGATCAACTCTTGGTTGGGGGATGTGACTCCTGCCACCAAATCCGTGTTTGGTACTTTGCGCGCAGGACATGTTTGTTGGAAGGCGTCTTCTGTTGGAGGAAGCATGGATGCAGACTTGTCTGTCGTTGTAGCCATGATGTACCGCAACTCATCAAGTGTGTCCATTTCCTTCTGCCGTAGAGGAGTGTGTGTAGCTACGCCTATCGTGATGCTCTCCTTTATGTCGTCTTCATGGATGACTGGAGGTTTGTCAGACTGTCCGCATGTTTCACCAGTTTTGAGTACGCGCGTTTCTTTCCTATCCTGTTTATTGAACATGTTGTGTCGCAATCCTGTGAGGGCATGAGCAGGCAGGGAACACTCGCACAGGCTCGAATTAACCGACCGCACCGACGGCATTGCGTCGTGCCCCTATCAATTGCGGTACTGCCCTGAAAATCCAACTCGACGAGCCGGCAAGTCACCTGCCTTGCCTTTTGTGTAATTGCCGTCGGTGCCCTTTAATCTACTGCCCTAGTTTCGTTTTTTAGTCGAATCAACATAACAGCGTGCGCGTGCCGTGCTGTAGTTGCAATGATGAGCTTAAAACGAGATAGTCCGCAGGAGGGAACAATAAGCATCGGATATAATTCACTCCTGATAGCGGCGGAATATAAAATTTATTGTTACTGTACTTCCATTAGCAGAGGGAGGTAGCAAGGGTCCGGTGTTTACGGTGTAAGCTTACATGGGGGCATATTGTTTTGTACATTAAAAGCAAGACGATGTTGATGTACTAATTTGTTATGAGTTTTTCCTTTATTTTACAAAAGTGCCTTGGTGCCCTTCTCAAATTTTGAAAGTTGCCTGTGGTGGCCTTTTAAATTTGCCTCTGTGCCTTTCCATTTTAGAGAAAATTCAAGGCGATTGTCTCACGTGCCCTAAAAAAAAATTGCCTTGCCCTTCTCGCCGCTTAATTCGAGCCTGCACTCGCATAATTGTTGGGCCAAGTTCATTCGCAATTGTATGAACAGGAAATGTATCTTTCCTTTCCCTGAATGACCAGCATGCATGTACACATAGTCAGCCAGTTGTCCTCTGCTGACATAGTAAAACCAGCAGACCAAGACATCCTGTGTCGTCACAGCGGATCATGATCCTATCATGGTTCTTTGATAGTGCACAGGCATGCAGGAACATACGTGTATCGCCTCCTGCCTGGTTACTGTAAAGTGATTCAACAGATGACGCTCCCAGATGGAGCAACCACCTTCACAAGAGCTTCCTCAGCTAAATCCTACCTGCCAAGATAATGGAGTTTGTCGTTGGAACATATTCTCCTGCATTCTCCAAGATATACTGTGAGATGTATATTCGCAAGGCTTGGCTTGTTTCCCGAGAATCCCTTGAGAAACTTTCTGTAGTTTAGTACTTTCTGCTCTCCTGGATCTGATAAGTAGGTAACAACATGGAAGAACCCACCCTCGCGTTCTGTCGTGTTGATGGATGACACGTTATCATAGCCGATCGAACACAATGGTCACAGACGTCAAATCCAAGGATGCGGTTGTGGAGAAGTCTAACTGTACGTTTCTGTACGCACTTTTGCAAGTGATTCTCATTCAGTAACTGTAGCCATGGTAGCACATTGTCACATTGCATCTTTGATGCGAAGGACTGCTCAAGATGCACGTACTAGCTGCTTGGTTTCTTGGGCCAGCCATGGCAATCAGTTACTCTGTTG